TATATATATATATATATATATATATATATATATATATATATATATTCATAATCATATTACATACATTCCATATTATTTCTATCCCATTTTACATATATTTCATTTGTTAATCAACCTTGGGGAAAGGGTTAAACACAACCATAGAATATATTGGAGAATAAGGTAATAGATATGATCATAGGAATATAGAACCGAGATCAAGAGAAGGTTCATAAAACGTATTTATAACATATACGTATACATTAAATGATAATTTATTTACGAAGACATTCTGTAAATTGCCTGCTGTTATATTTTTTTATTTGGAAAACAATATTTTTAATAAAAATATAAAAGTAGACATTAAAGTATGTTAACGCAATCAATCCTTAACCATACAAATAATAAGTTCGTATAACAAATTAAGTAAAAGCTTATATATGTTTTACTTAAATTCATTTTAATTGGTTGTCTATGTCCGTTTATTTTAAGAAAAATAACATCTACAACGGTAAAAATTGAGAGGCCCACGGGTTGATTTTTAGGATGTACCGCTTCATGTGACATGGATGGCGACTGGAACACGTTCTTCACCTGTTATGTATAAAATAGTTGGATCCGAACATAATAAAATATATTAAAAGGTTGTACATAAATTTTAATCTTTAAGATAAAACTGTGTTTAATACACTGATTGTACTTAAAAAAAATATTCTTCTATCTATAACTTATAAATACTACTTCTTTCATTTTAAACTTTACCGGTCTTCCTTATGTTATTTTAAGAAAGAACTAACCGCTAGATTATTTTTAGTTATTTAAATACTAGTTGTTGATATTTCTCTTTATTATTTAAAAAACTGGCTGTTGGAAAATATCTATATAATGAATTACATGTATCAAAATTTTATACTTCAACTTTCTGTCATAAATCACTCGTGTTGTCATAAGAAAAGTGACGTCTGGATTAGATCAGTTGTTAATGGACGATTGTTCATGAGGCTAGCTTGTAGATGAAGTTAAATGTTCGAACCGGCCTTAGACTCAACTTTTATTCTTCATGGATAGATGTACATGTCTTTTAACAATTAATTTTCAGATGATATGATCATGTTTATTCGTCATGTATGTGCGGAAGAAGGTTTCAAATGACGAAAAAGAATTCCTTTCAATTGTAAAAGACCATGACTCCAATCATTCTGATTTTATTTCTAAAATGTGGGTTGATGTGACTAATAGAATTGTGTTGTCTCTGTTACAAAAATGCGTTCTTATAATATGACAATTAGCTTATGATAATGATGAGTACATATTTGATATGAATTAGTGAAAGTACTGCTATTAAATGATTTAAAAATTGCCAGTGTGTTATTAATTGAAAATTTTGAAGGTCAATACCCTAGAAGTCCTACCATAATAACGACATCTAACGTAAAACTATAATTGCATTCCTTACGCCACAATTTCCTATTATGGCAAAAGGTATTGATTATGACATGCAACTTTTGACGTTGCAGGGTCTTGCAACGACAACGTGCTAAACCAATCTCCCTTTGTTAATAATGATGTATTTACAATGTTATAATACACAAGCTCAATTTTATGTGAATGGAACAGCAGATGGTATTTTGTTGACAACATATATATATCGAAAGTAGGTGACGGTAGTGAAAAGCTTTTCAGATCCATTAAATCCCAAAAAGAAGAAATTCGAGAAAAAACAAAGGAAATAAAAAAGATGAAAAACGAGCATTCAAAAAATAAAAATTTCAATCTTTTTGACAGCCATAAGAGGAGGACCAACACCATTTTGGCTTATAAATAAATTAATTATATTTCAACATGCATACATTATATTGCATAATATGATCATAAAAAATGAAAAAAAGATTTAATAATTAGTTGAACATGCGACCAAACAAATTCTCTAACATCTGTAACCATTTCAACATCTCAAAAGAAATTTTGAATTACGCAATCATTAAGTACATTATCAACTTCAAATCGATTCAACTGAACATGTTTGAGAAAAAAAATATATGAAATTAATGGGTCATTTACTAAACGCTTATCTGGTAAATTTTACCTTATCAGATAAACATGATAAATCTTACCCGATAAAAATAATAACAAAGATCAAAAATCATATCTGATAAATAAGAGTAACGACTCATAGCCACTAAAAACAGATATTGGTTGGTTGGTTGGTTGGTTGGAGATAATACATTCTAAGGTAGGGAACAATGTAATGTGAATGTATGTTGACTAGTCAAAGGGGGTTGAGAAGACGTGAAATTTGCCATGAAAAGAAAGGAGTCCACATGCCACGTATCCTCTTCAAGGAACAAACCCATTATCGATCCCACCGACCCAAATTTATTTGGAGCCATCCAAACTAGTTTTTTTAATATATTAAACTTTAAAATTTATAAATCATGACCCAAATTCTTTAAATTCCACCAATAAACATTTTAATTTTTCATGTATTAATATATATTGACATATAATTTATTTACTTATAACCTATAGGGCTAGTTACCGATGATGTATATGGGTCACAACTTTGTTCCCTCATCACCGTGTAAACTTTTATAGATCGTGAAAGATATCATATTATATTGTTGGATATAATCAAAAACTTAGGTGATTAGGGGCCCTACGGCTATAAAAAAATTCAAATCACAACGATTTTGGATTATTCAATTTGCAAGTTTAATGGTCCGATTAATTGAAAAATGTAAGTTTTAGTTTTGGTTTTGATTTCTTTACCATATCGGTGAACCAAATAGCAAATTATACCATTATTTTATTTATATAATTTCCTTCTAGATAACTTGGTTTGAGCATACATAAAATTAACATTAGGTGAATTGATTTATCTTTAAATTAAAAAAATAAGAAATTGAGATCCATTTAATAAAACCATCAACCAACATATAATCTAGCTTACGCTAATGATTATTTTGTAACGAATATCCATAGATTGGTTTTTTTATAGTTATACGGTGTTATCACTATAGAAAATTTCGAAATCCGCCTCTAATAATATATTAAAAACTTTAATTTAATAACTTAATCGATTAAATTATGAGATTAAAAAAAAAGTAAATGTAAAATTGGCAGACACAATATAACAAGGGCTGTGGGGTGCATGTATGATTGGGGTGAGAGTTAAGTTGAGATCTCAAGTCTCACTTGACTTTATGACACCATGCTCATTTGATACTTTGTATCTTTTATTTGTTTTCTTTTATTAAAAATTAAATAAATATATATGTTCATGTTTAATTTATATAATATTTCAACCATTAAAAATTACGCGATGGATCTTATCGACATCCATGAATAATAAATCATAGATCGAACCAATGAATCGAAAAAAATTAGTTGCTATCATATAGCTTTCAGCTTTGTATCGACTAAGTTTACGAGTTAGAGATAAACGGATTTAACTTGAATCGATGACATCCGCTTAAAAATATATTTAAATGATATTTTTGTTTTTATTGTCTTTAAACGAGGGTTAAATATTCAGACAACCCACTAAAAATACGTCAATAGACCAATCATAAAATGTTTTTAACGTTCCAAATCTTTAAATCTCATATATTTCTAATATTTTTATAAAACCATGATTAAAATAAAATAAATCTTATTTTGTTATTATCTTGAAAGTGGGAAGGTGGGTATTTAAATAGAAGCATAGATCACAGCTTTCTTCCATGCACTTGTTCATCTTCCACATCTTCTCTTCATCCCATATATACTTTTTCTTTAAATATTAATCCCCAAAAACAAGAAAAGAAAATGTCGAGCAGAAGATCAAGATCAAGACAGTCAACATCTTCAAGAATCAGTGATGATCAAATCAACGATCTTGTTTCCAAGTTACAACAGCTTCTTCCCGAAATCCGTAATCGTTGTTCTGATAAGGTATGTAATTATTATATTCGGTTTTAGCTTTCAACAAATCCTTTTATGAACAAAAATTTACTGCGGGGTTATGGGCAAAGTCCGACTCCCTGTGAAATTAGTCAAAACGAAACCCAAGGATCACCCGATTTTCAGATACATATTATATATATTATACTTGATAAATTCGAGCATTCCCCTACCAATTATAGCAAATTTAATGATGTTTTTTGAAGTTAAAACCAAGTAGAATGGTTGTTAATATTTAAAGATTTTCAAAAATGGTATATTTTCAAGATTTATGAAAATAAAATTTTTATGTGAAGATAAATTTAGTACAACAATTAAAATGTTCAATGAATAACTTGCAATGACTTCTAAAATCAAACTCCATGTACCCGCAAGGAATTTGGGGTCAATTTGTTTTATAGTAAAGTGTCAAGCATTGTCATACTAATTAGTTAAAAACGTGACAAATAATATATATATATATATATATATATTTATATAGGTTGGTTATTATACAACCCTTGTCATTTGTGCAACCAATACAACCCAATCTCAACCGTCCATTTCATTTGATTAATATGTGATTTTATAGAGGTTTTGATTATTTCCTAATATAAAGTATTAATCATAATTAATGAACCGTATTCATCTTCCATAAATATTTAAATCATAATAAATGAACTCTAATCATTTTCATAAATATTTCAACTTATTGGGTTGCATTGGTTGTACAAATGCGATAAGTTGTATTTGAAATAATCCCTATATAAATATATATATATATATATATATATATATATATATAGTTTGGTCTTCCTGAAAATTACTCGTTTTCAGGAGAAATTTGAGAAAATATAAACCTTCGGGGAAATTATAATATAAACTTGATGTGACACCTATAAAAGTAATTAACTTTATATTGTGTTAGGGATGTGTAGGTTACCATATTCAGTGTAATTTTTTAATGCCCATTTTAGGTCCATGTGAAAGTTATCACATTCCTACAATATAAGGGTATCTTCAACACGATTTAATTTCCTCAATTTTTTTACAAAAATAATAATTTATCACGTGATCTTAAGTCTCTCTCTATAATATATATACACACGTACAACCATATATATATATATATATATATATATATATACATCGATTCTCAAGGCTCCACATGTGTGTGTGTGTATATATATATATATAAAGTATTTATAAATGAATAACATTTTATTTTATTAATTGTTATTTAATATTGAATGATGCAGGTGTCAGCGTCAAAGGTGCTACAAGAGACATGCAACTACATTAGAAGCTTGCATCAAGAGGTTGACGATTTAAGTGAGCGATTGTCCGAGTTGCTCGAGAACACCGATTCGACTCAGGCTTCAATTATTAGGAGTTTACTTACCCAATAATTAAACAATCTTCTTCTACACAAATTTTCCATTTTTCTCCCTCTTCTTTTTTCACAATGTGACAATGCACCATCGTTCTCGTTGTAATTTCTAGGGTTCTTTTTGTCATTTTACATGAGGAAATGAGTATTAATTAATATAATAACAATTTGGAAAAATGGACTTGCTTCATTTGCTTAGTTGAGTATTAACTAAAGTATGTAAGAAAAGTGATCAATTCTTAGCTAGCAAACTTCTCCATATTGGAAACTGTAAAATCTGAGTTCATCATGTAGGTTTAAAAATAAACATAATCTGATTCATCGATCTTGTCTTTAGCGAAAGGAGAAACATAAAATAATAGAGATAACACATTGTTCAAAGTTGGAATCCGTATATGATAAATGCAATATTTAATCATCATCAAATTATAATTATGATTAGGATATTAGTTATTATTAATTATAAATAAATATTAATTATTCATAAATATTAATTCATAGTAAGTAAAAATTATTGA